GTTTCATAATTTCTAGCTGAGTGTCCTTGCTGTGGCCGCTGCTCTATGAGCAGTTTCCGCCCGGATACTCTGGTTGCTAAGGCCATGCTGCCGCATCACTGGTCAGGAACGATCTTCGAGTTGGCCACGCCTCTACCAAGACATTTCCCATGTAGCATTCCTGCTTCTCAGGGCAAAAGACTTTGAGAGGAACTATGGGAACCTTTAATTTCTCAGTCTCATGGTGAAGAATTATTTCCACCCAATGAGAATAACCTCGGGGACACCCGGTGTTGCCACAGGAGACCTAACGTCTGTACCATGTGAGGAAGCAGCCGCCGACACCACGTCACTTCACCTGCACGTGCCGTCGCCCTTGGGCTCTCATCCCAACAGCCTCCTCTCAACACTGCATCACGGCACTCGCATCTGAGAGAAAAAGCCTGCAGCCCAGCCTGCCTTGCTTACAAGCGGCAGCTGCCACCCCAAAAAAGCTGTATTTGTGGCCATGGTTGAGGCCACCCATAAAAATTCTCTTGGACCTACTTTACTGAACAGCAGTCGCCATGGGGCTGTGCCGTCTCGGGGGTGAAGGTGGCTGTGTGTGAGCAGATCACGCGTGCCAACTCATGACTTAGTGCACGTGTGCACGGACACCTGTGCACCATGGGCTGCAGCACGGTTAAGCAGGAGGAAGCCTGGGCCTCGTGCTGCTCCGCTTGTCGGGATGGGACAATAACCACGTCAGTACACCACCCGCGGTGTGGTCACACAGCCGCATCAGGCCCACGGAGGGCAGGCATCAGGAGGGCTCTGGCATACAGCCACCTTGTCCTCTCCTAGTGGGCAAATCACAGAGGTCTAGGGCTCACCTGCCACACCGGGACCTCTGACGAGTTACAAAGCAATCGAGGGACTCGGCTTTTACAGAGACAGACAGACGGATAGACAGATAGATAATGTTCTCAGTGCCACGTGTGATGTCAGAACACATCAGGAGCTCATACTTTTTGGCTGATGAAAATAGGACCTTAAGACAAAAGGATGCCAATCATCCCAACCTGAGCAGTAGATATTACAACTGAGGAGAAATGTTAGCTGTTGGATTATTCAGGGGAACAGGTGTGAAAGGGCTGCGAGGACACAGCACAGACTGACGGCTTCTGTCTCACTAGCGTCCTCCTCTGGTGATATTGCGAATATTCAAGTACCTACATTCAGAGTTCAAGGTCAAGTTTACTCTGGGGTGGGGGTAACCTCAAGGCATACAGTTCACCTCCAGCTGGCATTCTGAGAAGCAACACGCTCGTTCGCCACTCACTACCGGCCATCAGGCAGGAGCAGTGGCCGGGGCCAGCGTCTGGCCACGCCCATCCTGTGCTCACAGCAGCCCCGACACCCCCAGACTGGAAACATTGAACAGAAAGCACCTGCACTTATTCCCGCTGCTCCATTTGCACTGAACATTTGCTCTGTAAAGACTGCTGTGACGGAGCTGTCTGACCAAGCCCTTTCATTGTGTTCTCCCCCCATTTATGGTTCCACATTTGAAAAAGCTGGCAGCGTTTCACACGAGGTGGCTCAGTGGCCGGCCCCACCTGCTCTGCCTTGTTGGCGGTGCGCTGTGTTGCTTCATTATGCTGTTCTTCCAACGTCTCCAAGTTTAACTCCTCCAAGAATCCATGCCTTTCATCTTCCAGCCAGCCTTCATCCAGCTGCAAAAGAATACATTAGTCCATGATATTATGTTAGCGAGAACTCTGGGCTAGAAGAGGGTCAACTTAAATGGTGACACCTGACCAGTCCCTTTTATCATAATGATTCTCTTCAGAACACCAGCCTCCTACAGTTCACCCCCTCGGAAAGAAGAAAAGGTGATAGAAAAAAGAAATTGGGCTCTTAACGCCTTTTATCCTTTCCTGAAACAGAGCTCAGCACTCGCCTCCTAGCTGGGGACATCTCGCGACACAGAATGGTACCTTCTTTCAAAAGCATGCTGTCTAGTCCACAGCTGTCACGTTCATTACCTCCAACAGTCCCTGTGTTAAAAGCACTTTGACAGAACTATGAGGGCTAGGAGACAATCGGATTTTTTTCCTTGACAACAACCCCGTGGTGAGATGCCCACACGGTGCCCTCCAGAATGACCCATGCCTCGTCCTCATTTGCACGCTGGAAATTTTCAGGCCGATGCCGCCAGGTTAACAAGATGGCTGCTTGCCACCCAAGTTCATAGACAACAGTGGCTTCCCTTGTGCAAAAACGGGAAATTCTAAGTTATTCCTCTCAAGAGGGGGAAAAAAAGGCAATTCTAGGCTGTGTCTATTTGGATTCACTTTTGGGTCCAATTTCACGGAGACCACATGGCGTCAAGGGCGGGTGGCAGAGTGGGCAGTGTGTGCAGGGTTTTGTTTGGGCAGGCTGGGTGCTTAAACACGCGCTGAACCCAGCGCAAAGTGAAGTGGAAGCCTGGTGATTGCCTTGCTATATGACCGGTGCTGACAGTCCACACAGGCACTGTGCCTCACCGTGGCCGTGTGGCACTGGATCACGCACACGGGCTGTCTCTGCTGATGAAGGGAACTGGATCCCTGGGAGGACCCTGCCAGCGGTTCTACTGCAGCCAAGTGGAGCTCAGCAGCTCGCAGACACGCGGGCAACCCATGCTTTCCTAGCAAACGCAGCGTCTGCCCGGAAGCCTGGACGAAGGCCACTCCACGCACCAAGAGGGGCAAAGGCCAGAGGTGTCCTGTTCTCCCATACAAAGGCCCATCTTCAACTTCCTGGCCACGTGGGACTTCCACGGCCTCAAATGCACCTGGGGCCCAAAGTTTGGACCCAGTTTTCCCCCTTATCAGGCTGCAGCCTGAGTCACACGTCCAGACGCCACCGCAGCGACCTGGGTGTGCAGGTGAGCGATGACCATTCTGTGCAGCAAACACTGCACCCAGGCCAAGCGGTCACGGTCCACTTACAATCTTGAATTCAAGTGTCACAAAACTGCAAATGCCAGACCCCCGAAGACACAACAGAGAGTGAGGAATGGTGGTGGTTTAGAAACAGAGGGTGCAACACAGGGGTGCATCCAAGGGTGTTGGGGGCTAAATGCAGTGATGGTGAAGGTAAAGAGAAGAGAGGTGGGAATTCATGGGTCTTTTCTTACCGGGTGCCCGTGTGCCTGCTGTGGCAAGGCTCTCTCTGGGCTGCAGGCAGAGCACAGCCAGGCCCAGGCCAGTCTCCTTCCCAACTACACACGCACACCAGGCAGTCTGGGGTGAGTCCCGCGGAGACCGGCAGCCCCTAGAGCTGGGCTGGGCAGGGGAGGAAGGACTGCTGCTCTCCCAAGGCAGATGAACCTACCCCGGGGCCGGCCACACATACCATCTCAGACACAGCAGCCACCTGCGTGGCTCAAATGGCACGGCCATACGTTCTCCTAAGGGCCAGAGCGCTCTGTCTCCGTGTCCCCAGGTGCAGGGGACAGAAAAGTGGTACTTTTAAAGGTCTGAGGAAGAAAATGAGCACACAACGATAGAATGCTGACAGTGAAGGAAGGAAGGGAGTTATCTAAGAGGTCTAGGACCGTCCCAGAACGTCTGTAGCTCACGTCCAGGAACCTCGAGAACACGCCACACATTTTTCAAAAAATAGAACCAGCATACACAGAACTTCCACATTTCCCCAGAACAAAAGACTTCAGGGGAAAAATGCAATAATGACACGTAACTGAATGTGATGGAAAAATGGAGCTGATAAAAAGACGAGATTTTTCTTGGTCTCCCCTCCGTGTGTTGCCTAAAATGACGTTTCCCAGATACGGTGTTAAAACACATTTTCTTTCCTGGTTTCTCTGGAAATCTGACTTTAGCGAGGCAACTCACTTAGCTACAGGCACCCAGCTCTTCAGGACTGAGGGGCGGACACACTTCCAGCATCTCACGGAGTCAACGGCCATCGCTTGTTAACCACGGAGAAAGTGGCACCTGAAGAGCCATCCCTGGCCTTGACTCTTTTGGGGGAAGGGTCAGCAGGGCAGCCCGTGTTCAGACAGCACCAGTTCTACCAAGCCAAAGGAGACCATCGAAGACACCAGGACCAGGTCACATGCCACCCAGTGCTTTTCCTAGCAAGCCACTATGACCACTCTGGGGCATTCTAAGATGAAACTGTCTTTTCTACAACACCGATGGCTACCAAGTTCCCTTCAGCATATCAAGAATTCCACAAATAAATATTCAGCCCCGTTACTCTTTTTCTAAGAAAATCAGACTGGGGAGGTCAACAGTTGGAGAAATCTCTAGGTAACTGCTGCAATGTTATCGTGCTGTAAGCACAGCCGTGCGGCTTGCTCCTCTGCCCTCAGACCTGAGACTCTGCTCTGCTCTGGGCCACGGCACACTTTATGGCGGCCATTTAGAATGGTCAAGGACATCACGGAAATCTATGCGGAAAGGGTGATCTTTTATAACCACTATATTCAAGTCAGGATCCAGGCTGACACTGAAACGCACTTCCTCGATGTAATTTATAGATAGTATGTAGCTACTGAGTCTGAAAAATATCAGATCGATAACCTGGGAGACGAATGGCGACATAACTAACTTCACTCACGCTGCTGACAGCCGGATAGAATGGTGACAAGCCGCTGTCCTTTCTGCTCTGTGGCGGGACATAAACAGCAGCACCAACAGCCCCTTTCTTTCCCCATTACCTCTCCTTCTCCTTCACGACAGCTTCTTCTGCCCAGACTGAAAAACCCCCTGAGAAACTGTTTTTGATGGACAGATGCCCTCTTCGCTCTAAGCTTAAAATTCATTTGCTACCCAGGGGACTACCCCACGCTCCACGGAACACTGTGTTGATAAAGTCATCCCAGCAAAGATGTCAGGTGACACCTGCAGAGGCTAAGGATCCTCTCACTGCAGGTTCCTGCAGGGTCCCTCTCTAGGCCAGTTTAGCACTTTTTTTTTTTTTTTTAGCTCAAAACTTAAAGCAAGGATCATACAGAACTAAACATGTGAAGTCAATTGTTTTTCATGGATGAATTATTTAAGTAGCCAGCAAGAGGAAGCAGAGGTGAGCAGTGTCTGCACAGTTGTTTGCTACGTGGGGTGCTGCTGCCCAGAGCTGCAGCCTGTGATGCCCGGGACAAAGCTGGCGATTAGGGAAGCTCCGGCGTGGTGCGCCCTGCACACAGCTCTGTTCTGCAGGACTCGTGAGCGTGGCTAGTCACAAACCGCAGACAAGGAGGTTGAATGCATGCATGAACGTCAAGTTCGGTCTCCAGCCTCTGGGCTCCAGCTCTGACCTGGGAGTCTGGCCTCGCCACGAGCAGCAGGATGGTCTTAGACCCGTCACTCGACAGCAGCGCCACGGCCTCCTCTCGATTCTGCACATCCTCCCCATTTATCTAGGAAACAAATGAAAGTGGCACGTTAGTTTCCATTTCCACCAAGCCGCGCACAACAAATGGCAAATACCAGCTCATTTACGGTAAATGTATGGACAATGGAGCGCACACAGGGGCCTCGTCTGCAGCCCTGCGCAGAGAGTGCCTTCACTCAATTACGCGCTTACTGTAAGGGCCGCATCGATCCCTGAAGGATGGCGGACATCAGAGGAAGCAGTTATGTTCATAAATGTCCAACCTGCGCCCTGGCAACATACATCTAGCAACACAATTAACCAGCCCCTGACAGGTGACGTCCATCTTTCTCCGCTCAGAGTAATGGAAGTGTCACTCCGAGATAATAGCGCTGGGGGAAGCAGGACTGGAGCGAGCCACTGAAATCCGTCATCCTGCGTGCTGGCTCAGAGCCAATTAGGGGGCCGCAGTGCTCTGTCTCAGCAGGCAGCGCTCCCAGGCCAAGAGGCTGGGGTTTTCACTGAATCAAGTCCTATCTCTGTGTGCGCCCGACTCAGGGGCCCCAACACCACTCTGGGGATACCTCTCTGTGCTTAAGGAATCAAAGGGAAGAGCAGTTCACCCCCGGCTCCCACTTCCCGAAACCACCAAACCCATGCACCGTGTTCAGGCTCATCTCTTCAGCACCAGGGGACATCAAAAAGTTTGTGGAAAATTGGAAGAAAGAGACAAGTTTACTGCAGTGTAAAGTAATTTCAAAGTTCACGCACAGCTTTTTCATAATATGCATTTGCATGAACTTTTTGAAGACCTCTTGTATACATAAAATTAGCACAGGAGAAATCTGACTTTTTCAAAGAATGTGCAAAAGAAACCAAGCTTAGTAAACTAAGTACAGAGAAGATCCCCGTAGCATTTCAGAGATTTCTTTTTCCTTCCAGGTTATAACCACAGAATAAATGAACTTTCTAAGGTTCAGACATTGAACTATAGTTTTACATCCAAATGTATTTAGCTGTGAGTTAAATCAATTCTTTTCTTCGGAAATTGAAAATTTATTTTCTTTTATGGACTGCTCAAATAGGCAGAGGCAATATGAGTTTCGCTCCTAACTCAACATCAAAATATGTGGAAAAGAAAAGCCTAAAGACCTCAGTAATTCCATGTGAAACAAGTATTAGTTATGTCTGCAAACTAGACAGATGGGAGGTGTGGCTGTACTGCCCATCTTCTTCTCGATAATTAATCTAACGCTGCTCACTAAGGGTTTCTGTGAAGTAAGTAGATCCCTGAGCGTTCCTCCCTCCCAGTCTCTGGGACTCTGGACAGACACTGTCACCTGCAAACAAGCCCAGGAGTCTCATCTTTGGGCCACAGTGAATGATCCTGATTGCTGGAGTCTTATCCAACACAAACGCATTTACCATAAAGAAAGCAGACAGTGATAGTCACGAAACCACACAGCCTGGGTTGGATTTCTTCCTGTGATCAACGTGAAAACCCCTTTAATGAACACCTGTGTTTGCAGAGGAGGGATTCAGCTACTACAAGTTTTATGTGCATACCTTTTTTTAAAAAAATTCAAAAATAAAATTCATCAAACTAGGAAACAGAAAAAGCTCTGATTCAAAATGAAGGATCGTGACTGGGAAAGGTAGGATGTGGTTCTTCAAAAGTGTATTTGAAAAGAAACGCATGGGCCGATTCCAGGCCTCTTCTTCTCAGATAGAGGCAAGCTTCACAGGGGTGGAGGCCTGCATCTCCGATCCCACACTAAGTGCCATTTTTGAAATAATGGCTTCCTAATTTCTGCTCTCCTTGACCTTTGAAGCCTATGTCCACTCCACAGTAATTCTAAGTAGTCCGCGGCAGTACACCTGTTTGTTTCCTGTCTCACGAGGACCTATCACTTCTGGTCCCCTCCCCAATGGGCGTCTTTGATCCTCAGGGGACTGAGGTGGCCGATCTCACACAGCTTCGTCTCTCCTGCCTGAAATGCAAGTCTCACCCGTTTTCCTTGGTTCCATTCCTCCCCGTTCCCCTGGTTCCTCTGCCTGTCACTCACAGCTCATCCGGGTCCTCATTCACATCAGCGTGAGCTCACCCCTGTCCGCTCTCATGAACGCAGGTAACAGGCCTTTCTCAGGTGCCCAACACAGGTGGAATGAGTTAGTAAAGGAGAGGGCCAAACTCTCGGCCAGACGTGTGGGGAGTGTCCAGTGCTGACACACAGCACCAGTGACAGTTATCTTTCGTCTCACTGTCGTCATCGAGAGTTTAATCCCCAGAGAAGGCTCGGCTCTGCCAAATCAAGTAAATGCAGAGCACCCCCCCCGCCCCAGCACCATGACGACATCCACAGCAGGGAGCCTGACTCTGTTCGGGAAGTTCCACCTCTGACATGTTCTTAACTCTTGCAGGGCCATCAGAAAACAGTGTGGCTGTGTTCACGCAGTCGGAGCCACCTCCCTCTGTGAGTCTATAAAAACCTGCGCTATGGCCTCCCGAGCCGGAAGTTAATCCTTGTTTGCAAGAAATGAATCTGCCATGGAAATGTGGCATTAAAATGCACTTTATTGCTGTTTGCAAAATCAGGGCCTCTTTGGCCAACCTGCTGGCCAGCGCTGCTGCACTCAGTGTAAGGAGAAACACACGCAGCGGCTTCAGCGAAGACGGCCCACGAGGAGTAACCGGATGCGAGGCCCGGAATGAGATGGAGCCTCCGGCCTCCAGCCGTTCTCACATCTGAAATGTGGCTTTAGGGCAGGCACCAGGGGGTGGGCCCAGCAACACGGGAGGGAGACAGAGGTGTTGTCACATTCCTGCAGCTTCATGGGAAGGGAGGGACGTTGCCGCAGATAACAATCGGCCTCATTTCTGCGCGTGGACATGTGTTGACAGGGGCTCCCCAGTGGCCATCACCTGGGCTTCTAAGAGCTCTGTGGGACTTACTCTACTGCATCAGAAGTAGTCAGAATCTCACTTCAGGCCCAGATCTCCTGAATCTGCAACACATACACGCATGGATGTGTAGGCACAGGTGCATTTACAAAACCCTGAAAGCTCAGCCATGTGTCACCATGGCTTTTGGCCGTGGACACACCTATCTTCGAGGATTCCTGTATTATCGTGCCAGAGGTAGGCAGGCAGCTAAAATGCTTGGTACCCAACCACCTGTGGGATTCTTGAGCAAAGCCCAAGAAGTGTAGGCCAAAGAGGAAAAGCTTCCTCCGAATGCATTTGTATTTCAGGATGGAGACAGATGTGGGGAGACCAGAAAGAGGGGGCGCAGCCACGGGAAGGCAAGGAAGTAAAGCAGCAGAAAGGAGTGCTAAGGGCCCTTCCAAATACGGGGCTGCGGGGACACGGGGGCATGCATCAGACCTCCCTGCGCTCACTGAGCACTGCAGGTTTCGGCAGGGAGTGCCTGGGGCCACGTGCCACAAGGTGCACGCGTGGCTGTGACACGCTGAGCAGCCAGGGAGAATGTGGCAATGTGGCGTGAACACTCAGGCACTGGAGAGATGGTCTCATAAGGCTTCTGTCCTTCTTCCTTCCACTCAGTCCCCAGAGGACTGACTGTGATCACTGCACGGGAACTCGCGTGGCACAGGGCCGTGGCTGAGCCACGGGGCCAGCACCGTCAGGCACCTGCGGACGATGAGAAGCACGGGGCCAGCAGAGTTCCCGTGGAAGAGGCTTCCCCGCCTCTTGTGCACGGTCCCCGCCCTGTTCCGATCTCCTGCAGGTGCATCACGTTGCTGCATGAGGTGGCCACCAGGGCCACGTGTGCCACGTGAGGGAAACTTCAGCTGCACCATGAGGGCAGGGCCTCAGGTGCTGCCAGAAGTGAACCCTGTGCCCTCCCCCGTCCCCCCACCTCATTCTCATCTCCCTGGGAAGGAGGAGCTAACTGATCATTACGAGGCATCCCATAACCTCCTCATGTCCTACAGGATCTGTCTGTCTACGGCTACAATTCTGCCACTGTTTTATTTAATATCATTTCAACATCACCCTTAAAGTCCTTTGTCTCCTATATGTACAGACAGCATTGAATTGCAGGCTTTATAATGGGATGTGTATTTATTCATTAAGTGTGGTGCATCTGTCTGTAATCAGGCAGAAAACCGTACTTTATCAACCCCGTGGTTCTTTCTCCAATGGGCCAACTCCACTAAGGCATGCTTTCCTATCTGCCCACAGTACAGCTAGAGTCTGCAAGTCTCAAAGCTTACGACGTGCACATATGCACACTTGATTTCTACCCAGTGTGCCCATGGAATGAACAGAAGTGACCAGAGGAAGAGGGGGAGTGGTCAGCTGGGAGTTAGGAAGGAAAGAGAGGGGAGGCCATGAGAAGAGGTGTGGGATGAGGGGAGTGGGTGACAGCTGCTAGCAGCGAGGCCGTGGTGAGAAATGGTCACACATAGACCTGGTGCATTGCCAACGCGGCCAGACGCGGTCATTCTAGGTCAGGGCACAAAGCTCCGGAGCCTTCCATTCCTGAACATTTGAATCTACTGCAACATGGCGTAGTCGTGGCTGGTGTAACGGCCCCCAGGTCAGAAGGTTATATGGTTTTCGGTGTATTTAACTGGGGATCTTAGCAACGTGAGTCATGCCTTAAAATTATGTCAGAATTAAAATAAGAACAGCTCTGAAGCCTTCATTCTCTGGGTCATCCTCTAACACAGGACTCTAGGTTTCCTACAGATTTTAGTCATCTGCCCGATCACTGTTTCCACGGCATTTGTTTCATTCCTGACTTGTGCGTCTGCCTGTGTGAAAGACTCTGAAAGCATATCTGGGGCATCAGATTAAGCCGCTGCTGGGACACCTGCATCCCCCCTCAGAGTGCGGTCTGGGTCTGCTCCCAACTCCAGCTGCCTGCACGAGCACACCCTGCAAGGCAGCAGGTGGTGGCTCGAGTACTTGGGTCCCTGCCATCTGCACAGGAGCTGTGGATGGAGATCCTGGCTCTGGCGTCAGCCTGGCCCAGCCCCAGCCATGGACAGCATTTGGGGAGTGAACACTGGATGGAAAATCTCTCTCTCTCTCCCTTTCAAATACATATGTTAGAAATTTCAAAAGTGTGGTACACAGACCAGGTCTTGGCTTCCTGATCTGTTTTTCTCTCCCTGCACATCTGATGACAGAAGCAACTCCAGTGCGTTTACTGCAGGTCAGCATCTGTGGACCCCATGGAAGCGCAAATGATACACTCCTGCCGTTTTGTTACTTGTTTCCTTTTTAAGATTTTATTTACTTGAAAGAGAGTCACAGAGAGAGGTACATACAGAGAGACAGAGGTCCTCCATCCTCTGTTTCACTCCCCAGTTGGCCACAACAGCCAGAGCTGGGCTGATCCGAAGCCAGGAGCCAGGAGCTTCTTCCAGGTCTCCTGTGTGGGCGCGGGTCCAAGGACTTAGACCATCTTCTACTGCTTTCCCAGGTGCGTTAGCAAGGAGCTGGATTGGAACTACAGCAGCCGGGACTTGAACCAGCACACATGGGATGCTGGAGCTGCAGGCTGGGGCTTTAACCCCCTGCCCCTCAGAGTCGGCCCCCTAGGGTTTTCTAGAACCAGGAGCCCAAATGATCACAAACCTGCAACTTTCCATTCTGACTTAACTGGAGCCTTTGGAAGGTTTCACAAGGAAGGAGGGTTCTGTGGCCCCTGCAGGAGGACCTGGTGGGGATGACGAAGGGAGGGACTGGGAGGTTGTCTTCTACAGAAGCGACAGGTGAGGGGCAGCCGGCAGCGGGCCCTGTGCCCGAGTGGCCTGGGCACAGCTTCCTGAGGACACCGTGACACCTGCCAGGGCGCTCACATCACAAGGATCCGGCGCCCTCTGTGCTCAGAAGGCCCCGACCTCAGCAGAAGCCCTGGTTCTCAGCAGAGTGGAACCCAACCAAGCGACCTCCAGGAGTGCACCGGCGGCCAGCAGCCGCAGGAGCGCCGGCCCCCTCGCCATGGCTCCAAGTGCTGCACGAAGTCTGGACAGCTAGGAGGCCTCGGTCTGCCACTGGCTCCCCGACCCTGTTGTGCGGCTGAGGTCGGCAGTGAAGCGGAAGCCCGCTGGGCCTCTGTCCTATCCCGAGCGTCATCTGGACGTGGCAGCTGGGGAACCGGGTCCCCTGCAGACACCCTGGGTGGGGGAGGCCCTGAGAGGCTGGAGCAGGTGCGAGCAGGCTCAGGGCAGTGCCTCAGATCCCAGTATTTCCCATCCTGGGGAGCTCTCTTTGCCATGCTAGACCCCTACCTCTCCATACCGCCCCCCACCTGCTGCCCCTTCTGCCTCTGTGCTGTCTGTCTCATTGAGTGCAAACTGAATCAGTTCTGCATAGAGAAGCAGCCATGTTTCCTCCACCTGGCCCCGGCTACCTTGTCAGACTTGTGGTTCACCCTCGAGGACCGGCACATCTGGATCCACGCTCACCTGCCTTATTCTGGAAAAGGCAGTAACTGATGCTGTGATGGGCAGTGAGAGCCGTTTATGTCCAGTTGGCATGGTTGTGCACTGTGCACAACAGTTAACAAGTGACACCATTATCACTGTCATTTTTTAGGATGTGTCAGGCCGTGGTGGAGCTGGAGGGCGTAGGCAAGGGTTCTGACTCCAGAGACTGTCCCTTAACTACTTCACTGTCAGCTAAGAACTCCGTAAGAAATGGCGCCATCCTTATTTTTGCTCTGTAGCCATTAATATCCAAAAGCAAAGATGAATTCTTTTCTGCAACGCTGCATAAGAGAGAGCGAAACACAGAACGGCGGGACGTACACGGGCAGCGGACAGAACGGAGGTCAGGACGAAGACGGCTCACCTGCAGGATGCGATCGCCTTCGCGGATCCGGCCGTCCCTGGCTGCGATGCTGTTGGGGTCCACCTAGGGGAGGATGCACAGTGCCCACATTCAGAACTGTGCTCCTGAACGTCCCCCAAGCCCCTCTGTCGGCCGATGAACCACGGCTTTCCCCATCTGCAACCACTGACCATGCACACGTCAGCGGACTATTGTAGCACAAGGTGACCTGACGGCCATTCCTGCATGCCCCCACGCCCTGCCCCTTTTCTTCCCACATTCGCTCCCACTTTTCCCGAGCCCACCTGTCAGCCAGGGTTCAGCTGACTCAGCATAACCGTCACACCAGCTGACTCAGCATAACAGTCACTCGAGGATTCCCTGGACCCAGGAAACATACTTTCCACAAAGGCGGCTTCTAACCCCTGCCTTCGTGGTCTTAGCAAGCAGACAGCTACAGTGTCAGCTCACACTATGCAAGGGACTGCTGTCCTGGGAGCTCCTCAATTTGTAGAGATTTATGATTGATATTTCTCAAGAAATGAGAGAAAAAATGCAGCCCACACATCTGATCACTCAGTACCACTTTAGAGACAGGGTGCAGCTTCCACTACAAATTACTTTGAACAAATAGGTATTTCGGGCTCTATTAGGAGCTTAGTGACACGTTAATGCGCCCGATTTGAGCGACGCCTTGCAGGTCACTGGGGCATTCCGTGTGTCAGAGTTTGCAGCTGGCTTCCAACCACCCCTTTAGGCGTGGTGCATCCCACTCTTTGTGGAACCAAGTATTTCACGAAGCCGGAGGCTGCTCCTTCCCAACCAGATGTGAGAAATGACTTTCTCGTGAGGGCGCCACCCACCAACAGGCTTCAGTGGCCAATCAAGAACAGACGCTGCCACTCCGGAGGCGGGGGAGGGGGGACAGCGTCCCCGTGCTCTGCTCCTGTGGCGAGCTGACCCTCTATGAACACTGATGCTCCAAAGCTGGTTATTTAAACAGTCAATAGAGAGGAGGAGAAGGAAGTGAGGGATGACAATTCAATTGTAGGCCAGAATGGCATCACGCGGCTATTAGGCTATTAAACTGCTACCCTGCTTCCTCTGTGCCCATGACAAAAGGCAACTCAGCAGGTGTCTCCTTCCGCTTCCTCACCTCAGCCAGTGCGATTAGCATGGCTGTACACGAAAAGGCAAACAGTCTAGGGGATTTCTCCAGTGCAGGAGACAGCCGTGGTGAATTCTTTGGCAAAATGATCACGAGTGGTGTACATTTACAGAGCTGTGCGTGTTCTAAATGATCAGTTAGGCCATCTCTTCCTTCTTCTGAAGGCCTCTCTAGGCAACTGTGACGTCTCTGGTAGAGGAGACCAAAGCTCAGAGCGCTAGGCAGTGTCCTCAAACCCATGCTGAGAACACCTTGCACCAGCGCGGGACAGTAACCAGCGCGCAGGGAGCCTGACTCCTGGGAACACATGTGTATAAAAACATGTGTGCACAAAAATAGGCGCCTACTGACACGGGGGGCCTTCACATGTCCATGGAACACGCCCATCATGAAAACACATGCATGGATCTCAAACATGTTTACACCAATTTCAATTCTGAATTCCATTTTTCCACGAAGCCCATGTCCGTGCTCTTCTATATGTGCGTCTGCATGTAAATGTAAAGTTGAATCGCGCATATGTATAATTTAAACAAACGCACACTTTCCTATTTCTAGTAGAATGCTCTTTGGGGAAGTTTTGAAGAGTCACCTTGGCGACCAGTTGTACTTCACGTAAGCCTTTCAGAGTCATTCACACAAAAGGCACCTGAGCCTCAATGCTTCCTCTCGCGAGTGATCACCGGGTTTCCTGAAAGGAGCTGGCAGATGCACTCCTCGCCCACTCACACTTACTCAGACCATCACAGAGCAAAAGACTGACTGCTTGTCGCAAATTAATCTAAAACAATTAGCCACTGCCATCAGGAACACAACGAACAAAAGACACGGTGGAATGGAAGGGCCAGCCTGGGCCCATCACAAGCTCCCCTCAACTTCCTGTGATCTCCAGGGATTTATTTAAATTTAGGCACCCGTCCCACGTCCCCGTCTCCAGGCTGGGGTTCTGTGCTGAAAGCATGCACATTACACAAGCTGACAATAATTACATTACTTGGGCAGCATAATTTACTTTCCTAATTGAAAGTGACAAGCATTGGAACAGGGCCAATTCTTCACACTCCATCTTCTTAGGGCAGGCGGCTCTTCCCCTGGTGTGGGCGCCCCCACCCCTCCCACCCGCCCCACGCGTCTCTTACCTCGCTCACATAAATGCCCGTGTCGTCTTCATCATCCGTGCGGTAGCAGAGTGTTAGGCCCAGCTTCTCCTGACTGCTGACGCGACACAACTCCACCTCCTGGGAGAGCAACACACGGGGATGGGTGTTCATCTCAGCACAGCCCCACAGAACACAGCCCCCAGGCCCTCTGGTGCCCCCGGAACCTCCCTGTACCTGCCCGACACGTGACCCCGACGTGTCGGACCACAATCCTCACGACCCACCTTCTCCATGCGTGGCTGTGCACTCAGACCAGGGTTTCACAGTTCCACTGTGTGCTTTGCTATCAAATTATACAGCTCCCTAGCAATGACACTGCGACGCATGACTCACACAGCTGGGATCTGCTGAGAGACCCAGGATGTGCACGTCGGCAGCAAAATGTTCACACACATACTGGGGTTTCTATTTATTTGCATTTTAATAAAATGAAACAAGTTCACACAGCACACGAGATGATGCCGGATGGTGCCATCAGTTCTTCTTCTGAGTTCTACACACTATGATAATAAGCAAGGGTTTTATGGAGGTCAGGCCAAGGCTTTCTATTATTCCGCAGAAACTCCTGCCCTTGGAAAGAAATGGGTTCATCCAGCCTGAAGGCAGAGACATCAACGGCGTATGAGGCAGAGGCAATGATTCAAAGTGTGGCAGGAAATGAACAAGAAAATACGTTTCCTGAAACACACGGCTAGGGCGCTGGGAATGTCAGGCCTTAGGTCATGCATCTTGAATCCATTTCCTGATTTATGTGGAGCAAAATAATAATAAATTTCGTTGTGTTTCATCTTTATGTAATGAGACGGACGTCCACCGCTCTCTGAAGCAGGTGAGTTCAGGATAAATCACACAATCCCAAGATTAAAGCCCAAAATGATCCTCTAATCACAGACGAGGAATAGAAGACCCTCGAGCGAACGGTCCGACGGGGAAGAAGAAGGCAGATTTTACTTGTGAGGTCTGAGAGGTCTGGGCCACGTTCCTGGTACCCAGACTCTGTGACCGTCTTGAAGCTGTCCATGGTGTGTAGTGCTCTTTGTCCAGTACCTACCGTATGGGTAGTCCCAGTGAGGGTCCTTGATGGAAGTGGGTAGGGGTATGCCTGTGTGTGTGTGTGTGTGTGCATGTGTGTGTAAAGAAGGTGAAATCTGAGAACAGACTGAAATTCAAATACTGGAATCAGAAGTCCCAAGGCAATGGTATTAGGAGGTGAGCTCAGGTCCTGAGTAGGGAGCCCCCATGAATGTGACGAGTGCCCCAGAAAACAGGCCCTGGGAGCCAGCTGGCCCCTCCGGCCACGCAAGGCTCAGAAGGTACCGTGGATGAGGAAGGGGCCTCGCGAAACACTGAGCTTGCTGGCACTCTGCCCTCGCACCTCTTGGTCTCCGGCCCTGTGGGAAGCGAGCTTCTACACTCATCAAAGAAACACTCACTGACTCCAAACAGGAGGCTTCCCTCCAGCTCAGTCTGCGACAGATGAAGGAGTGTCTTCCCCTTAATTGTGCATTTCGGGGAAGTCCTTGTCATGAGATAATAACCATTTATTTTAATGATATGCCATAAACCATGCTATAAATCCTAAGTGAGAAGATTTGCTACAGTGAACTCCAGTGACCAATAACTTCACAGCTAAGAGTAAATAAAATTAAACTCCCACATCCCAAGACCAGCACTGTAAATTGACAAATACCAGAAACTATGAAGAATACTGACTTTCTGATATGCTAGGCAAAGACCCCCCAGGACACCACAGTGGCCGGGAAGCACCTGGCATAGCTGAACACTAGCAAGAAGAGGTGACAAGTCCGTTCACCCAGGCCAAGAGGAGGGCACAGTGACGTGATCTGCTATCAGGGCAAAAAGGAACATAGCAGGCCAAAGTGTTCTCGAAGGTGGCAGTACGAATGCCTGCCGTGGGAACGAACCCTCACCCAAACTAGGAAGGAATCACGCAAGCAACGCGCTTCAAGTGGGATACAGTTAGGAGCAAGGGAGCTGCCACTTCCAGGGAGCCCTAAACAATACTTAAATAAATGAGATGGGAGCCTTTAAACTGAGGCAAATATGGAGCTGTAGGCAAAGTGAAAATCCAATTTTTTTAATTGGTGAAACAGAGAAAGAGAGAGAGATGGAGGTGTAGAGAGCCAGCCAGCCAAAGAGAATGCCCCCATCCACCTGTTCAGTTCCCAGATAGATGGGGCTTGGCTGGGGCCGGAGCCAGGAGTGGGAACTCAGTCCAGGTGCTCTCATGAGGGTTTCGGGAACCCACACACGTAAGCTGTCACCGCTGCCTCCCAGGGCGCACATGAGCAGGAAGCTGGCGCCAGGTGCCGGAGCCAGGATCTGAACTCGGGTACTGCAACGTGGGAAACAGAAACGCCTACACCCCACTGACTTTCTTGTTCTGCCAAGGCACAGGAAGAAGTCCCAACACCGCGTGGAAACACCTCCAGAGGGAGCATTCTCCTTGCGGTGCCTGCTCTGTATTCCCGACGGCACACCGGGACTTCCGTGTGTTTGGACCATGGCTACCACACTGCTTGTGCAGGAAAGCAGTGCATCTGGTAGAAGGAAAAGGGCGGAACCTTCAATGCCGCAAAGCAACACGTCTAGCCCAGAGTCCCTGTGGCCCAGCAGAGAAGGTCCCAGGGGCAGAATAACTTCAATAGCGCCGTCGGTCGAAGCAGAGCAGTGAGACAGGTCTCAAAGCCAGCCTCTGAGACGTGACGAGCACGGGGTCGTAGATGCTTCTTAGATGGACCGTTAGCAGCATCCACTGACCAAGGGACCCGGAGGCAAATGCTCAAAACTCCAGACTCACCGTGCTGGGATTTCAGGCACCAAGAGAGACCCACGTGAGGCACCACCTGATGCCAGTCCCCAGTGTGGACCTGTGTTTCTTTCTTAGAAGACACTGCACACACGCGCCACACCACATACCAATTCACCAGAGCACACAGCTTAGAAGCAAGTTTCTCTAATCTAACAACAGAAGAACGTACAAGCAGGGCCCCGTAGACTCTGCCCCAAACAGGGCAGATGCACAGTCGCAGAAGGCAGTCCCTGGCACAGGCTCACCGGACTGCCCACGCCCCTGGCTCCTGAAGAGATGGTCCCCATAGAAAGGAACGTCTCCCTGACAGTGCTCACCCCCTTCCCTTCATCCCGGGAAGCTGTCTGATGAGAATGCCCAGGGACATGAGCCATGCGTGCCCGTGGAAGCCCAGCCTGGGTGGGTGCCAGTGCTGACCACTCTGAGGCACGGTGGCTGGAGTGGAATCCTTACCTCCCATTCCTGGCACCACCGGGCTCCACCTGACTTAGCGGTGCACCGAGATGCTATGCCCAGGGAGGTGTCTCCTTACAGAAAGCAGAGCCGGCCCCTTGCTCTGGTGGCCCAGATGCCGGTTAGCATGCCCGGATCTCGTATTTGAGTGCTTGGGCTTGATTCCCAGCTACAGCCCCTGATTCCAGACCCTGGGGGACACAACGATGACTCCAGCACCTGTGTTCCGCCACCCATGTGCGAGACCGGGACGGAGTTCCCAGCTCATGGCTCTACCTCTGGACCTAGCACTGGCTACCACAGACATCCGGGGAGTGAGCCAGTCACTGTCCCTTTCTGCCCCTCAAATAAGAACAAAACTCTAAAAAGTCAAATTATGGAATCTGTTTTTGTGAGAAATGAGATGTTGCGGACTGAGGGTCGAATGGAAGAACAAAGTTAGCAAGGCTTAACTATGGAACATTTTGCACTCAGAAGGACTGGACTGGGATTTTTATTCAAATCTATTGTACTACAGTGCTATACATGTTTTGGCGAGGAACAAGGAATTTATGAAGTAAAAAAATCCTGTTTCTAGATTTGTCTCTCTTGACGGGTGTGGAGCTGCCTGTTACACCTATTCACAAATTTGTTGCCAAACCACACAGCACAAAGGCCCACACCATCAACATGAGAACTCAGGCCGTCAGCGCTACTCAAGTCTGAAGACGACCCGGGGTAGACAGCAGGGCCATTGTCACAGCAGGCAACCAGGAGAGAGCAGGCCGGTTGCCTGCTTCTTTTTATTTATTTTCCCGGTTTGGTTTCTTAGAACATCTGTGCTTTTACCCAGCTTGGGGGAAAACACCTATCACCTGTCTTTTTACCACACTGCATACTGTGTTTAGCTGCCCCAAGAAAACACTCATTAACAAAACAAAACAAAACAAAACAAAGCAAATCAAGTGGGAAACTGGAACACGTGGGCCCCCACAGCCGAGGGCAAAGCAGGTAGCTCACTACCAGTACCAGTGACTTCCAGCTAACAGGAACCTGTACAATACTTAGTGGGAACCAGTAACCTCTTAGAATACCCAAATTGGGGCCCGTGCCGTGGCTCACTTGGTTAATCCTCCGCCTGTGGCGCCGGCATCCCATATGGGTGCCGGGTTCTAGTCCTGGTTGCTCCTCTTCCAGTCAAGCTCTCCGCTGTGGCCCAGGAAGGCAGTGGAGGATGGCCCAAGTGCTTGGGCCCTGCACCCCATGGGAGACCAGGAGGAAGCACCTGGCTCCTGAATTCGGATGGGCACAGCGCGCTGGTCGTAGCGGCCATTTAAGGGGAGAACCAATGGAAGGAAGACCTTTCTCTCTGTCCCTCTTTCTCACTGTCTAACTCTATCTGTCAAACAAACAAACAAACAAACAAAAAGAATACCCAAATCCCAATGACAACAATATTTCAGGCCCACGCTCCCCAACTGCACACATATTCACAACAAGTGCTGCCATCAGTGCACACTTGGGACAAAGAGGAGAGTAACAGAGCCCAAGCTTAGCTCGTGTCTGTCACTCACATCCTTAGTCCCGGCTCCTGGTCCCCCCGCCGCCTCTTCCCTATTGATGCTGTGAGATGAGGGGTAGCTTTCCACTTCCAATTCCCGATTCCTAGAATCTTGGGCAAATTAAGTTGTCACATTTTTCCAGGCCCAGGATGGCAGCCTCTCACCATGGGCAGTGGATTCCCTGGGGAGGTCCTCCGCGACCCACTCTGAGTGGATTCCGTGCACCGTGTAACAGAGGGAGAGACATTCACCTTCCTCTCCTGTCAAGCAGGGAGGAGATGCACTGGCGATGCATCCCAGGTCAGGAGTCAAGTTGGGAAGCAAAGCGAGCAAGGCCAGAGCTGGACCCACACATGTTGCGAGCTTTTCCGCTGTGACGGCCAGGGCACCAGGCTGGGCCCAGCCCTGCTCTTTATCAAACAAGGAACAAAGGCACGTCAGGAAATTGGAGACTTTGGTTCCAGCAGGTTTTCCCCCCTCTCCTGTGCTGGTATCTTGGAGAGGTGACTGCCATTACTTTAACCTGGCTTACCCTTTGAAGATTCCAGAAATCTACGGTTTCCACGGTTGACTTGAGACTCGAGCAAACCTGCGCTACTGGACGTTGTGAATTTAGTTCTCGGGAACTGCATTAGCCGAGCATGGGGAATCCTGGTCAGGTCACGCCCACCATTGCTGTAACGCCGTGCTTGGAAGTCATAGGTGCTGGGTATTTCCCTTCCAGTGCTCTGTTCCAACACCAGACCTCCAAACCACTGGCCCTGCTGTCCTTCACTGCCAACACCGGCCTCGGGCCCACGCCTGTCTCCCGACGCAGCTCTGAGTCTGTATTACACACAATCCGCTTTCACCGGCAGCCACAGCTCCCCTGGGCTCTGCCTCCATGGTACCAGAAAGCCAAGCGTGGTTAAGACGCACGCTCCCTTCCCGGGGTCCCCGCCGGGGCAGCTGTGGCTCCCAGGAGAAGATGCTCCCGGGCTGAGCACGTGGGCCACTCCCGCTGTGAGTGCTGACCGGCACGCCTTGCCCGCCTCACCAGGCCACTTTCCTGCCTTCTAAAGACACGAAAGCCATCTCCTCTTCTCTAGTCTCCAGCTGCCCACCCAGTAGGGGACCTCGTCTAGGAGGACACTGGACATCAGATGGCTCTGATGATCACAGCCGTCCCTCTGCAGAGGGGACCACGTGGTCTCTCCCCCGCGGCTCGGCCGCAGTCTCTCTGCCCCGCTCAGTGGGGCCGCCTGTGCCACAGTTCACAGAGAATCTAGAAAGGGCTGCACACTCCCCGGCTCCACAGAACAGCACGGAGCATCTCAGCCAGCCCTCGGGCTTTTACTTAGTGAGTTTTTTGGTGCAGTGAGAGAGAGGTTCCAATCCTAGCAGGCAAATGGCTCAATGCATGCTTTCTACACAATTCTTTTATGATTTTTCCAGGAAATTTTTACGGAATTATTCCTGTTTTTTCACTGTTTTCAGCTTCTCTGTTTTTTTTTAAACTTTTATTTAGTAAATATAAATTTAAGTACAGTTTATGGATTACAATGGCTTTTCCCCCCCATAACTTCCCTCCCACCTCCCGCTCCCTCTCCCTTTCCATTCACATCAAGATTCATTTTCAATTCTCTTTATATACAGAAGATCGATTTAGTATATATTAAGTAAAGATTTTAACAGTTTGCACCCACACAGAACATAAAGTATAAAATACTGTTTGAGTACTAGTTATAGCATTAATTCACATTGGACAACACATTAAGGACAGAGATCCCACATGAGTAGTAAGTGCACAGTGACTCCTGTTGTTGACTTAACAATTTGACACTCTTGTTTATGGCATCAGTAATCTCCCTAGGCTCTAGTCATGAATTGCCAAGGCTATGGAAGCCTCTTGAGTTCACCGACTTCAATCTTATTCCGACAGGGTCATAGTAAAAGTGGAAGTTCTCTCCTCCCTTCAGAGAAAGGTACCTCCTTCTTTGATGGCCCCGTTCTTTCTTTTTTTTTTTTTTTTTTTTTTTTTTTTTTTTTTTTTTTTTTTTTTTTTTTTGACAGGCAGAGTGGACAGTGAGAGAGAGAGACAGAGAGAAAGGTCTTCCTTTGCCGTTGGTTCACCCTCCAATGGCCGCCATGGTCAGCGCGCTGCGGCCGGCGCACCGCACTGATCCGATGGCAGGAGGCAGGAGCCAGGTGCTTTTCCTGGTCTCCCATGGGGTGCAGGGCCCAAGCACCTGGGGATGGCCCCGTTCTTTCCACTGGGATCTCACTCGCAGAGATCTTTCATTTAGGTCCTCTTCTTTTTTGCCAGCTTCTCTGTTTCTATTAGATGCTCCCCAATGCTGTGGTCTGTCCATCTGTCTCTGTCACACACAGAGAATCTTTAATATCAACTCCACAGGGTGGGGCACAGGGACACCTGGGGGTAGCGGTCAGAAGAGACACCAGAGGTGGTCTTGGCGTCCGTCAGGGAGACCACATCTCCAGGAGAAGCAGCGAGCATGGGAAGGCACGGATGCAGGAGCCCAACCCTAAACCTAACCCTAACCCTAAACCCTAACCCCAACCCCTACCCCAACCCTAACCCTACCCCTACCCCTAACCCCAACCCTAACCCTAAACCCTAAACCTAACCCTAAACCCTAACCCTAAACCCTAACCCTAAACCCTAACCCCTAACCCTAACACCAACCCCAACCCTAACCCCAACCCTAACACCAACCCCAACCCTAAACCCTAACCCTAAACCCTAACCCCAACCCCAACCCTAACCCTAACCTCAACCCCAACCCCAACCCTAACCCCAACCCTAACCCTAACCCCTAAACCCTAACCCTAAACCCCAACCCTAACCCTAAACCCCAACCCTAACCCTAACCCCAACCCCAACCCCAACCCCAACCCCAACCCTAACCCCAACCCTAACCCTAACCCCTAAACTCTAACCCTAAACCCTAACCCTAAACCCTAACCCCAACCCTAACCCTAACCCTAACCCCCGAGCAGTCCCTGTGTGGGCAGCTGAGAGCGCAGGCCACGGTGGAAAACCTAACTAAGAGGCAGGCAGGGACGGACACGCCCGGGAAGCGTCTGTGGAGCGAGCAGAAGGAGGAGCCCATCCGACTCGGCTCAGAAAGATGAGCACCGTGGGAGCACAGTGCCAACTGGATGCGCTGGGACACAGGCAGGAGGGCCGCCTGGGGATGCCACCGGCTCACGCGAGAGGAGGCGAGGCCGTGAACGCAAGCAGCGCCACATTGCCTGAGCACCACTACCATCATTTCCGTTTACGGGAGGAGCAGCAAGGCACAAGACAAGTGCCACTAACTCGCCCAAAGTCACACAGCGAGCCCAAGGCCAGGCGGCACAGTGGGCGCTGCCACTTCCTCTGGTTCCACCCACAGCTCTCTCCATGTTTCAGCTTAGACGCTAGTTGCTGCCTGCTGTTCCGCTGCCACCGGCCCCCACCCCAGCACTCTGGCAGAAGCAGGGCTACCAACGTACTCCACGGCGTCCAGCAATGCGCAATCACTTTCTGGCAACTCCGCCCACCTGTTCAGTAACAGACCTGACTCTGCTCAGCTGCTTACTTTCCACAGCTGTCTGCTCCCTTGACAGCTACACAAGCGGGATCTTGGCTGCTCTGGTTACCTGATCTGTCATCAGCCTTAGTGCGAAGCAAAGCAGCTCAAGTGAGTCGCCCTCTTTGTCTCTGCGTCCCCAGGGCAGGGGAGAGCGGCCCTTTTCGCAAGCCCCACCCGCACCCACCAGATGAGTTAACCACTACAGTGAGGCTGGGGGCAGCACGGCACGGCTACTGCTGGGTGAACATTTGTATCCTGGAATAACTGTGTTAGATCGCGCACAGTGTGTCTGCAAAGCTGTGCAAACAGTAGGTGTGACTTAGTCTCACAATCTCTGCCAACAAGAAATGGAAGCCAAGAATGACCTGCAAAAAATAAAGCAACATGACCCATCTCTCACTCACCCTACATCCTCTAGCACGCTTAGTCTTCCCTGCCCAGTCTGCTCATGTGACATTTCCTTAGCACTTGCTATGCATGAAAGACCACAGTCAGCTTGGAACTTCTCGTGCACCAAACTTGGGGATACACGTTTCATGAATACCATGCCATGTGAACTTAGAAAATTCTGACAGCTCCTGCAGTACAGGGCAGCTACTTCTGGCCCGTCCAGCATTCAGTAGATGTCTTTCTGGAAACATGACCCTACACTGCTTCTGTGGAATTACTTTTGCCTTCCTGAGCTGTGTGTTTAGGACGGACAGCAGCTCCACAGGCGGCATGTGGCTTAGGTGCCAGACAGAAGTGCGTTTTATCTCCCTGACTGTCAGGATCAGTTATGTGTATTTGATCCAGTACAAACCCAGCAGAACCAGGCCCCAAACTTTTGCTGAAACCGTAGGGAGAAGAACACTTGCATTTCCTAGATCACAAGCCACTCAGAGCTCTGCTTTGCCAGAATACACAGAACTGGAGGGTGAATGCCCAAAACAGGAGATCGAACCCCAGTGAAGGAAGACTGCAAGTCAACACTGTGGCCCAGTTACATCTCTAACAGTAGATTTTCAGTTACAAAAACCAATAGAAGTCCGTTTTTCCCTGAAGAATGTGCTCAGAGCCTCTTGTTTCTTGGATTCGAGTCCAGGTTGATTTTGGTCAATATTATCAATTTCAGTTAATAGACGAAGACATTCAGAGCCAGCAGTCAGCAACTGACTCCAGGTGACT